TCCATGTCCAAGAGTAGTTCTGGTTGAAATGAGGAAACCGGAGATGTGGAGAATATACTGGTTATCCTGGGTTCTTTTCTCTCTTTGCCTTGCATATGGAAGGCTGAGTCCTTTGTGGCTGGCTTTCAGTTGGCTGTGGCCAGGGGGAGATCTTAGCAAGAGCCCAGAGGATGGGTGGGAGAAATCAAATGTGGTCCTCACTCCCCTCCAGCTTTGGGGCCACTCCTGGCAATGTAGGCCCCCCGCTCCCCAATTACGTCTCTTTTCAGAGCTCCTCTGTGGCTCCAGCCCTTGAGGCGGGTCCCTGTGAAACACCCTCTCCTCCTCCTCTCCCTTCAGGCCCGGGGCAGTCACGGTCCGCCCGGCGCTGGACTCTCAGACCTCCCCCATCAGTTCTGGTTCCTGTGACTCTTCCCCACCCCTGCAGGACATCCGTGACCCTCCAACTCCAGTCTCTCCACGTCTGCATCTGAGGAGGACTCTCAATGGGTCAGAGACATAGGAAGAAACGGCAGCAAAGCCCCCAAACTCCAGTTGCCTTCGATTCTCAGGCAGTAGTGGACCGGCAGACTTTCCCAGTTTGGTTGGGCCATTAGCTTCATTTTGAAATTAGAGAAATATGAGGCCTGGTTCAGTTACCAGGGGCGCCAGGGAGGAAGGAGGCTCACTTTAGTGAGGTCTTGTGGCAGAGCTGTCTCTTCCTGAATCCCCTCTTGGATAACCCTGTCTAGGATTAAAGATTCCTCTTTGGAATTCCTATCATATTGACTGTGCAACCCTGTGGCATCTAATGGGTGTGTGCTCAGTTGCTGAGTCATCCGACCCTCTGCAACCCCATGGACTGACTGTAGCCCGCTAGGCTCCATCCATTGGATTTTTCAGGCAAGAATACTGGATGGGTTGCCATCTCCTCCTCCCGGGGATCTTCCTGACCCAGGATGGAATCTGCATCTCCTATGGCTCCTGCATTGCAGGCGGATTTTTCTTTTTTTTTTAACCACAGAGCCACCTGGGGAGCCTGTGACATCTAATAAAGTAACACAAACTCCATGAGAGCAGGCACTTTATCCCCACAGACGAGAACAAAGCCTAACCCGTTACAGGTGTTTAATACTACTGAACGAATGAAAGAACATCTTTTCCTTTATAGATGTCACTGTGGAGAGGGAACGTTGCCACGGCAGCGGCCCCCTCCCTTACATGGTAGCCCCTGAGAGCAGATCAGGCTGCAGAAAACCAGGAACCACTCTGTGCTCTGGGTACCGGCCTAGGTAGTTAAGATGTACATCGGAGGGATAATTTCAGAGCCCAGAGCCTTGCATCTTCCCACACGAAGAAAAGTACTGAAGGCATTAACGTGAGAGGTCTGCTTTGTGTGATGAGCAGTAATCTTTGCTTCCCCAGTGGCTCAGAGGGTAAAGAGTCTTCCTGCAACGCAGGAGACCCGGGTTCGAGCTCTGGGTGGGGAAGATCCCCTGGAGAAGGAAATGGCAACCCACTCCAGTATCTTGCCTGGAGAATGCCATGGACAGAGGAGCCTGGCGGGCTACAGTCCAAGGAGTCACAAACAGTCAGACAAGACTGAGTGATTAATTTAACTTTGATGTTTGACTCCACTGATTTTTTTTTTTTTTTAGCATGAACTACTATCGGAAAAAAACAAAAACAAAAATTCCTATTATTCTGCTCCTCCCTTATGTCTTCAGAGTGGTTCTTCAGATCTATCTGAGAGTCTGTCTCCTGGCTATAGTCTCAGTAAGGTCCCTAGATAAAAACTTAATTCACAATGTTTAGGGGGTGCATTTTTCTTCAATTGACACCATCACCACTCAACAAACACCTATTAAATGCCTATGCACCAGGTACTGTCTTGAGCCTCAGGATGCAGGGGTGAACAGAAGTCTAGCTGGAAAGAATCTTGCTTTTGTACTTCGTCTATTTGGTTCCCACTGCTGGAATGTTCTATGTCACCTTATTCCCCTGTCCTCTTGACAAGCTTTGACCCACCCTTCATGATTTTCTTAGCAAAGTGTTATACAAAACTGTATTTGCTACATTTTGCTTTAGCATATTATTACCATTATCTATTTTCCCATAAGCCTCCCCTATAGCTCCCTGGTGAGCCTCTGAAGATAAATGTACTTCTCTGAATTTTTTTCAGAGAATCTAGCAGGATGACTGTCCCGTAGAAATGCTGTTTAATTCCTGCTAATAGATGGTGTTTGCAGACACAGGCCCCTTGATACTGGCCATCTGTCCAGAAGGCCAGCTATAATTTTCTTTCTCCTATATTTTGGAGTTCCTTTTCTTTTTTAAATTTAGGCTACCTTAACCACTGGAGCTTGCCTGGTGGCTCAGTGGTAAACAACTCACCCACCAATGCAGAAGACGTGGGTTCATTCCAGGGTCTGGGAAGATCCCCCAGTGAAGGAAACGGCTACCCCTTCCAGTATTCCTGCCTGGAGAACTCCAGGGACAGAGGAGCCTGGCAGGCTACAGGCCATGGGGTCACAGATGAGTTGGACACAACTGAGCGACTTAACAACAACCTCAGTGGTCAACGTCAAGGTTGGTGGTTCCTCCTGATTGAAGACATTGATGGAGTGGGTCAGGCGCTGGACAGCTTTGGGTTAAGCAAGGCTCTTCTTCACTTCACTGTTGGCAGACAGACAGATGTGAGGGTATGCTTACTTGGAAGGCCTTGTCCATGCTTGTTCATGTATGAACACATGGGCATGAACTGCGGGATGACACCCGTTTCCAAGAGCATCAGTCTATCTTCTGGTCTAGCCCTTCGGGGCCTGAGGCGGTAATGGGGGGCCGGGTGGAGGGGGTCTCAGGGACATTATTATTCCTGACCTCCGGACCCAGTGAGCTGGCATTTGAACGCCCTGGAGCTAAAATAAGTCAACAGAAAGGGCGTGTGCTGCCTCCGCTGTAGAAACAGGGGCTCAGTCCTAAAGCTCCTAGTGTGGTCAGGCCAGCACAGTAGGAGCTGCTGAGACGCCCTGAGCCCATGTACGGTGTTTCCTCGGTTACTTTAAATTGAGTAGAAACCTCTGCAGAATCTCATAGGGATTCACTTCTTTACGCTCTCATTTCAGAGCATCCTTTTTTTAAACAGGCTTTATTTTATTTTGCTGTTTTTGGAATGTTAACGTTCGTTTCCTGTTGGCTGGGCTGTTTCTTCGCTGGGCGGGCTCCTCTCTGAGGTGTGATGCGAGGGCGTCTCATTGCAGGGGCTTCTCTTGCTGTGGAGCTCGGGCTTTAGGGTGCGTGGTTTCGGGAGGTGCAGCCTGCGGACTCAGGCCAGTACTTGTGTGCACAGACTTAGCTGCCCTGAGGCATGTGGGGTCTTCAAAGATCAGGGATTGAATCCGTGTCTCCTGCATTGGCTGGCGGATTCTTTACCACCGAGCCACCAGGGAAGCCCTTTAGAACATTCTGATATTTACAATTCTCAACTTGTGAAATTAAAATGTTCTGGGACTTCTATGCCTATTGATAAGGTTCCTGTCCATGGAATGACTAAAGGGTTTATCTGGGTTGATTTGATGTTTATACCCCTCTTGACGTCTCTATCAGGAGAAAAATAATGAGCAAATTCATCAAGTGTGTTGAAATTTTTACTCCTTTCCGTTAAGGTTTGGCCGATCATTGTTGTTGTTCAGTCACGAAGTCATGTCTGACTCTTTGTGACCCCATGGATTGCGACTTCCCTGCCATTCACTATCTCCTGGAGCGTACTCAAACTCATGTCCATTGAGTTGGTGATGCCATCCCACCATCTCATCCTCTGTCGCCGACTTCTCTTCCTGCCCTCAAGCTTTCCCAGCATCAGGGTCTTTCCCAATGAGTGATAATCAATAAATAGAAGAAAATACATTTGCATTTCCTTAAGCCTGACATAGCATGTCAGAGAGTCAGGCTCAGTAAACACGTTCTTTACGCAATCAAGACTGAAATGCAGTTTAGCACAGCTCTTTGCAGGACTCCACCCTCAGCAGGAAACCCCCTTTTTTGTCAATTTAGCAAAACCACATTGTAACTCTTAAACCAGGTGCCCTAAGCTCTGCTCATCCAGGGTGGAGCACACCTACCAGATCTTTTGATCATACAATAGCTTGTCTAACCTGTTGGTTCTTTCCATAGATCAGAGAAGTGGAAATGATGAATAAGCAATTAGCATATGACCAGATCTCTTCGGCGTTTACCTTTCAGTAATCTCTTGAACAAACTGTGTGAACAAGAGAGCATCCAAAGAAAGCTCACAAGAAGTCAACAAGCCGGCGGTGGGGGATGACAATGACTCTGGCCCCCCATCTCAGCGATTCACCGATACTACTTCCCTTTCTCCCCTTCAAAACCTTCATGGCTGAGCAGACCTTCAGAGATGGTTTCTGGGGGACACTGAGTCCTCCAGCTCCTCAGATTGCCAGCGTTCTGATCAAAAGCATTTTTCCTTTCTACCAACACTGCCGCTCAGGTATTATTTTCCAGCAGTGAGGAGCTGGACCTGAGTTCGGTAACCATATTGCTAAAGAAACAACGATATTCTTGCATCATATAATACTTCTATCATGTCATTCACAGAGAGTTTTCACCAAAGACTTTAAATAAGGGCACTTAAAAAAAATAACGTGAGGTTAGTATTGACTTCCCTGATTCAGAGGTTGTTAAATTGTTTGATCTCTTTTCTAAAGACTCCTCTGATCACGCTAGACTCCTTATCCCTACCCCACTTACCCCTGGGGAAGAACTCTCGTGGAAGAACCAACACACCACACGTGACCGTTGGGAAGTCTACAGCGGGGCCCCAAGGACAGGGGTCGTTCCGGAGGGACTGATGACTGTGCAGCCAGAGCCCCGTTACCATGGCTGTAGGCTACTAGTCTGGCCCTTACTTTTTCAGATTGGAACCTTTGATGATTTCCAGAAACCAGCTCCTGTCCCCGAGGAGAGCCTGAGCCCCAATCTGGGGAAGGAAGAGGGCGCATTACCTGACTGACTGCTCCTGAGGCTTCGATCACGGCGCCGCAGTCACCTTCGTGGTACGGTTCCTTACAGTCCCGGCAGAAGACGAACTGCAGGGGAACACAGGCAGGTTAGAGGCGGGCTTGCGGGCCCCGTTGGGTCCCAGCCTGCTTCCCTTTCCCAAGCGCGTTCTACTCCCGCCCCTGACTTGGTGACGCTTTCTGTGCCAAACTACCTTTCGCCAAGAGGAAAAAAAAGTCCTGTTTTGATGACACTGTTCACTCTTTACTAAAGAATGTTCCAAGCACCGTAGAAACATTTTGAAAATGAATGAGTCACATTTCCTCTCTTTGAAATGTTTCTAGCCTAGCAGAAGAGATAGCAATGCAAAGAAATATCTGCAGTTAAGTGTTACTGGTGTTAGCATATGAGGAAAACAATCTCAGCCAAGAATTTCACATCTGATATTTATTTACTTGTATCTGTTCAGTTCAGTTGCTCAGTCGTGTCCAACTCTTTGTGACCGTCATATACTGCAGCACGCCAGGCTTTCCTGTCCGTCACCAACTCCCGGAGCTTGTTCAAACTCATGTCCATGGAATTGGTGATGCTGCCCAACAATCTCATCCTCTGTCATCCCCTTCTCTTCCTGCCTTCAATCTTTCTCAGCATCAGGGTCTTTTCCAATGAGTCAGTTCTTCCCATCAGGTGGCCAAAGTATTGGAGTTTCAGCTTCAGCATCAGTTCTTTCAATGAATATTCAGGACTGATTTCTTTTAGGATGGATTGGTTGGATCTCCCTGCAGTCCAAGGGACTCAAGAGTCTTCCCCAACACCACAGTTCAAAAGCATAAATTCTTCCGTGCTCAGCTTTCTTTATAGTCCAACTTTCACATCCACACATGACTAGCTTTGACTAGACGGACCTTTGTTGGCAAAGTGATGTCTCTGCTTTTTAACGTTCTGTCTACGTTGGTCATAGCTTTTCTTCCAAGGAGCAAGTGTCTTTTAATTTCATGACTGCAGTCACCATCTGCAGTGATTTTGGAGCCCAAGAAAATAAAGTCAGTCACTGTTTCCACTGTTTCCCCATCTATTTGCCATGAAGTGATGGGATGGGATGCCATGATTTTAGTTTTCTGAATGTTGAGTTTTAAGCCAGCTTTTTCACTCTCCCCTTTCACTTTCATCAAGAGTCTCTTTAGTTCTTCTTCACTTTCTGCCATAAGGGTGGTGTCATCTGCATGTCTGAGGTTATTGACATTTCCCCGGCAATCTTGTGCAGGGAGTCTTTCAGCTTGTCCTTCCTCCAGCCTGGCATTTTGCATGACATACTCTGCAATGTTTTCTTGCATAAAGGATTTATATATCCGTGTTAAGGGTCTTACTTTTGTATTGAAAGCCTACTGTGGAAAGAATGGGCCATCATGGGTTGAATTCTGTGCCCCACAAACTCATATGTGGAAGCCCTAACCGCTGGCACCTCAGAAGTGACTGTGTTTGGAGATAAGACCTTTGAAGAAGCAAGTAAGATAAAATGGGGTTTCCCAGGTGGCGCTAGTGCTAAAGAACGTGCCTGCCCATGCTGGAGACATCAGAGATGCAGGTTTAATCCCTGGATGGGGAAGATCTCCTGGAGAAGGAAATGGCAACCCACTCCAGTATTCTTGCCTGGAGAATCCCATGGACAGAGAGCCTGACGGGCTACAGTCCATAGGGTTGCAAAGAGTCGGACACGACCGAAGCAGCCTAGCACACACAGATGCAAGGTAAAATGAGGTCCTTAGGTGGGGTGCGCAATAGGACTGGCGTCCTTACAGAAGGAGATCAGGATACGGACACTGGGATACCGAGCAGGTGAGAGAAAGAGAAGTGTGAGCCGCTCCTTCGTGTCCGACTCTTTGCAAGCCCACGGACTGCAGCCCACCAGGCTCCTCTGTCGACGGGATTCTCCAGGCAAGAACACCGGAGTGGGTTGCCATGCCCTCCTCCAGGGCATCTTCCCGACCCAGGGCTCGAACTGGGGTCTCCTGCCCCAGGGAAGTCGAGGCAGAAGGTGGCCACTGGGGAGCCAAGGAGAGAGGCCTCAGGAGAAACCGCCCCTGCTCCCCTGTTCGCGGACCCCCAGCCTCCGGAACTGCGGGAACATACGTGCCTATGGTTTTAGCCCCTGGCTGTGGCGCCCCAGGAAGCTAAGGCATGGCTGAAGTGAAGCCTCTCACCTGGAGACGGCACTCCTGTCAACATTCACGCTCCCTTCAGGTTGGAGGAGACCCAGGAAGTCGATGGTCCTCCCCTTTCACCTGACAGACAAGGAGGCCGGAGAAGGAAGCTGGCCTACGCCCGCAGGACTCGCTCGGCCCCTGCAGAGCCTGCTTCCCCCTCCCCGCCCCGCTCTGAGGCGCCGTGTGGCTGAGAGTGTGGCCTCCGAAGCGGATGCCCTGGGTTGGAGCCAACGCCCCGTCCCTTGATGCCCAAGACCACTTTGGAAGAGCGGCCTTGGAGCCTGGGCCTCCAATTTCCCCCTCTGAGAAGACAGGGTAACAATGATAACTGTCTCACGTGAGCACCACGAGGGGTGGATGAGATGAAACACATGCTTGGTGGCTACAAGCAGGCCTGACATACAGTGTTTTCTGAGGTGATGCCAGCCAGGCACTGTTCTTATTTCACGGCTGGAGAAGGAGTCAAGTTAGATAGTGTTGGCTGCTCAGTCATGTCCAACTCTATGGACTGCATGGACTGTAGCCTGCCAGGCTCCTTGGTCCATGGGGATTCTCCAGGCAAGAACACTGGAGTGGGTTGCCATTTTCTTCTCCAGGGGATCTTCCCAACCCGGGGATCGAACCTGCATCTCCTGTGTCTCCTGCATTGGCAGGGGGGTTCTTTACCACTAGTGCCACCTGGGAGAAGCAGTTGCTTCATTAGAAAACTGGTTCCCTCCAACAACCACTTATTTTATTCAGTGGGGAGTAATGTCTCTCCCAGCAGAAGCTGTATGCAGAGAAGATGTTCTAGCAGAGAAGAGAGCCTGGTCAATGAGTATGGCGTGTGGGCGATGGTGGTGGTTTGAGGGAAGGCACAGAGTGATCTGATACCCTTCTGCTTGAGAGGCGGGCTCTATACGCCTAAATCTGGATGTGCTGACCCCTCGACCAGCGTTGGCAGAAGTGACAGCCTGCCACTCCTGGGGCCCTGGCATGCTGCAGTCCATGGGGTTGCAAGGCGTCGGACACAGCTGAGCTACTGAACTGAACTCGCAAGAAGCTGGCAGCTTCCACTCTCTGTCTCCTGGGATACTTGCTCTTGAAGCCCAGTCCCCAACGAGAGGCGCATGTGGAGAGGAAATGAGGCCCCCAGCCACCAGCCAGTGCTCTTGCCGGCCGTGTGTCTGAGCCGTGTTTCACCTGGGTCTTCTCGCGTCTGGGTGACCTGCCCCCGGCTGACCCCACGTGGAACGGAGAAAAATGCTTGCACAGGGCTCCGTCCAAATTACAGGTTTGCGGGCAAAGGCCAACCAAAGCAAAGCAGGAACATGACTGTCACTGTTCTAAGCCCTAAGTTTAGAGATGTTTTTTACATGGCAACCGATAAGCCCATATAGCAATGGCACTGGATGCCTGGAAACCTCGAAAAATTTCTAGAGGCTGGAAAGTTCCCAGATTCTTCATAAACCAGAAATTTGACTCAATTTTGCTTGAGATAAGGCTGATTTGGGGACTTCCCTGGTGGTCCAGTGGTTCAGAATCCTCCTTCCAATGCAAGGGACATGGGTTCGATCCTGGGGGAAGTAATATCCCACAAGCTGTGAAGCAGCTAAGCCCACGCACCACAACTAGAAGGAAACCCTTGAGCTGCAGCTAAGACCCGATGCAGCCAAAAAAAAAAAAGAAGAAAAAGACAGATGTGAACTGATAACCCCCCCAAACAAACAGGATCTAGAAAAACCCAGCTTTATCCCAAACACATCACCACTCTGCTTCACCTCAAAATAAGAGTCTTTCCAGAACAGTTTTTTCATGTTTTCTTCACCTGAAACAGGTTCCTCCTACCCTTCTCCACGGTCACTTTCTTGTTTCAACAACACATCTGAAAATTATCTTAATCTCAGGGCATGACAAGCAAGAAGAACAAGTATTTTATAAGGAAAAGGCCTCTTCTACAGATGTCACCATCTGGCTTCTGAGCCAACACTTTCAGAGTCTTTTAGCCTCCTTATTTCTTCTCACAGCAAAGAGACTGAGCCCGCCCTTTGTGGGATGTAAACTTTCCTCAAAGGTTCATCTTGGTGGGAGAAGGGGTGTGAGTCAAGATGTGTTTACACAAAGCACCAAGACCTCCAGGCTTTCATTTCCGACATTTTAATTTCCCCTGAACTGAAAGCCAATCCAGCGAACAGTGAACAGATTGGATCCTAGAGTTCCTTCTTAAGGTTTTTATTTTATTTTTTATTTTTTAAATGTATCTGCTCATCTTTGGGTTTGCCTCAGACCCGTCACTCTGCTCCTGTGTTGAAACACTGTGAACTGTGTGGTTCACTCATTAAGAGCTCACTGTGTGATCTCAAGCCGGTGCTTTCCATGGAAGCAAGTCTGATCTCTTGGCGTGACAGGGAAAATGCTTCACATCTTATTAGCTCATGGATGAGATATAAAACCAGTTTCATGGTAGAGGAACACCCTGGAGGTTGATCATTTTGTCAGAATAAATAGGGCTTTCCTGACACAAAGACATTAAATTCCCTTTCATACCAGTACTACAAAGAATAGTCTATATATATATATATATATAAAAACAAACAGAAAAGAAAGCGCATATAAAAATTAAACCCTCACCGCCTCAGTATGGCAAAAGGCAAGCAAAAGCTTGAAGAATGTGCTGGTGATAATTTAGCATCAATGCACTTGCTAATTTGCTCTTATTCAGAGAGAATAACTTAAGTTTAGCTACATCATGCCTTTGGCTTTCTAGTTAAATAATTCAAATCTGTCTCATACAAAATGGGGACATAATTAGAAGGTCTGGTTTGATCTAAAAAATATGTTCAGGTTTTTAATTTAATTATTTAGAACTTAAGACTGTCAACCAGGTGCTTGAACAAATGCTTATG